GTAGAGTAACTTCGGGTAATATGGCACATCATAAGCATTTTTGGATATAAATTATGAAATTAATGAGATTTAACAGTCTTTATTGGTTAGATTAGTTCTTTGGACTTAATAGTAATCAACAATTATAATTTTAAGATTAATAACATCGAAACATAACTATAATAAACGTTTTATTTTTAAGTACGGAATCATTAAAATTCAAACATGGTAGGTTAATATGGCCTAGGGCAATATTGGCCACAATTGAAGTGAGCCGTATTCTCCGCCATAACAAATGAAATCATAAACTAAAAGAAATAAACTTTGCATTACTTTGCAGAACAAAATTCGCAGAAGAAAAACTCGGTTTCCACTCCTGAGCATTCTTCGTGAGCCCATAATTTACAACATGAGCATTGAACCCATGGTTCGCCTTTGTTATCCATAGAATAAAGATCCTCACAATACAGACACTTTGCATCAGAAACATTGCGCCTATCAGGACTTTCGTCAGAACTGTCGTTGTACACAGGTTCATTTTCTTCTTCCGAGCTAGACATTTGTACCTCCTTAGATTTTGACTTTGTCTTTTTACCCTTGCCTTTTCCTTTCTTGGTTTTATTCATAGTCTTTTCGATTTTGTCCTGTTTCTTTTTGAATGAGTCTTGCAGTTTTTGTACGGGGATGAAGTAAGCAATGTCGACTTCGCAGCCCTCCTGCCTCGGTTAGTAGCTTTCCTAGGTGCTATTTCTGGTATCGGAGATAATTGGAATGGCGTTATAAAGTTATGATGTCTTGAAGTTGATGGCTTTGGTGACGTTGCAACGGGAACTACGTTTTCGAAACTTCCAGGCGAAGCTAAGTTCTGGTTTCTTAGGGCCGAGGTATCACCATTAGTTGTCGCATTACTCATATCAGGTTCATTTACAGAAGGTGTTATGTCAAAAGATTCATTTTCTATTGCGGGAGTAGACGAGTTAGTTCGTTCTGGTGTGATATTTTCTTGATTGGAAATTATACATTCTTGGTCATTCATATCAATGAAATCATGATCTTTAAAAACATTTCTGTCTATCGGATATAGACCTGTTGCACGAAAACCACTAACAGCTATCTCACCGCTTTGAGTGCGTAGATACGCGCGTCCAAATACTTCCATCATATCATATTGGGTAAGGGGACGTGAATTGTTCCTCACCCACGATCTTATTTCATCAGAAACATATTTTTTTAATGGACCCATGAATGATTTATCTAAAGGTTGTATTTTGTGGCTGGAATGTGGAGGAATTGATAGTAAGTGGACATGATTTTTTCTTGCTAGATCTATCAATTCGAGGTTTCTGGTGTGACTGGTATGTCCATCTAAAATAAGCAATACTGGAGATTCTTCCGACGGTTTCACGTGCTTAATAAAATGTTGAAACCACTTTGTAAATAATTTGGTATCAATCCATCCCGAAGGGTGACATTCATGTATGGCACCAGGGGGTGCACCTTTCATTAAAAGCGGATGACTTCTTTTTCTGGGGAATATAATCATGGGTGGAACAAATGAACCTCCAGCGCTCATACTTATCACGCAAGTTATTAAAGACCCCCTTTCAGCTGATGTTAAACAACCAATTTGCCGTTTTCCCTTTTGACTTAGGACTTGGAGCATTTGGGATGGAACAACACTAATGCCAGTCTCATCCACGTTGAAAATTTTTTCAGGAGGGAATTTGTAGTTATCCATCAATTTTTCATAGAGATCAAAGAAATGGTTCACACTTTCTTTATTAAACCCCTTAGCTCTAGCAAAAGAAGTTCCTGTTGGACGGCGAAAAGAAAGTTCTGGATATCTTTCTAAAAATGATTTAAGCCAATCTTTACCGGCGCTTTCATTTTTTGCCGAAAAGGTATGAGCAATATTATTTTTTATTGCCAGCTGATAAGCTAAACTCATTACATCCTTTCGGACTAAGCCGAACAACTTAGCTTCCATTGTCAAAACGTATTGCACTAATTGTTTCTCTAATTCTTGTGGCAATGTTGGTTTTCTTCCCAATTTCGCGCATGTCGCTTCTTCAGTTGATATATCTACTTTAGCTACTAAACGTCTTAAAGTTGTTCGGGGTACTTTGTACAGTTTGGAAGCTTTTAGTGAGCCCATTTTCTTATTTCGTACATCTTCGATTGCTTTTCTCATTGACTCTTTGCACCAAGTTTGTCGTTGTCTTTGTGAAAATGGTTTTCGTGGAGCCATTGTCTTAAAAGATAAAAAGAAAAACAAATTGTAGAAAAATTACGTTACAGGCGGCCAATATGGCCTAGTAGTTCATATTGGCCACCTATCTAGTGAGCCATAATGGCCGCAGGTACGTTTTTGATAAAAAAAAATCTAACCCAAAAAGGTGTGACTAATGTGCTTTTAGAATGTTACCACACTATAAACTAATAGTTATACTATAACACTGTGCACTATTAATACAAAAACCAATATTATTTTACGAAACAGAATGAGTAAAACTTACCCAAAAATAACATCAAATTCGATAATTTTCGCTCGACGCACGCTCTAGACACACACGCACTCGCTGCAATGCAGGAATCCACTGAGGGGGTTGAGGAAAGGGCCGCGACAATATGGCGGACACGAACGCCGGTAGTGTTCGTTAGTTTCGGAAAAAAAAATATAGGCCATATTGGCCGACTAGGCCATAATACCCGAAACTACTCTAATCCTAAAATGTAGCATCGTACTACAGATGGCGCTTACCGCGTCATTTGTGGTATTTTCTAAGACGCGCTGTTAAGACAGCAGATAAAAATTGGTCTGTGTTCTGTCGGGCTGCCTGCGACGCGCTGATGAGATCCAAGAAGATCGAAATGGCGATCCGCGTCTGGCAGTTTCGACAGAATACAGACCACTTCGAATTATTTTATTCGATTATGGTAACGTGCCTATCACGTTGAGGTTAGCTACGCCGGGATTCGTTTCAGCAAGTAGATAGCCATACATTTAAAATGGACCTTGTTGGAGCATACGTAATCCTAAAATGTAGCGCCGTACTACAGATGGCGTTTACCGCGCCATTTGTGGTATTTTCTAATTCTCTTTTTGTATTCAATTTCGATTGCTATGTATGGGGCCTGAGAGATACATGATTAGATTTTATAGTATAAGTGGGAGTCATATCAATTAACGTTAAATTAATGAGGGAAAAATTGCTGCTGTTGTGACACCCTCGCCGGGAAACGAACCCGGGACCTTTGGCTTTTCACGTCACTGCTCTGATCACTAAGCAACGAGAGGTGTAGCAGTAACAACGACAAAATGTACATATTAGGTCATAGATTCGTATGTTACCTATGTTCAGTTTTCTTCTCGGTTGTTACAATAAGGCCATTACAACCGTAGAATATTAATCAAGGATCTTATTTATTTATTACTTTTAGTCCTCTGTGAGATTGAAATTGTTAATAGTAACGGACTGAAACTGTAGAGGCACTGCTTACTAGAACTTCTCTTGCATGACCTGTTCCGATTTGGTAAAGCGTCCCTCAGAGGTTTAAATTAGTAAACGAAGCTGTCCCTATGGAATCATTTATTATCTCCATTATCAAACCCATACGTACCTATCTATGCCTTTGCCTCGGGCATTGCGTCAAAGATTTAGAGATTTATCGTTCTCTTCTTTTGTTGATTTTCGACCTGCCTCCGTGTCGTATTAAATTGCATAATTGGCGATGCACTCGCACTGACCCATTGAAGACGAAATGTGACCAAAAATGAATTTACTAATTTCACCAATTAAGGTTCTGTTTTGTATTCAATGTATGCCAGTTATTATTATTGTATCTTTTTACCCATTTCTGTTTTGTCTAAATAAGCCGTACAATGTTTAAATAATGAGATTGTATTCGTAATACTCTTTGATAGAAAAAAAAAAAATAAGCCATTGTTCATTTAATTACAGTGAAGTAAAAGTGTTGAATTATGTTGGTAAATACAATAGCAATTGCTATAATTACTTACACCTATACTTCAGTAAGTATTTAATTTTTAATTTTTTGGTATAATAACTATTAAAAATAAATAAAAGTAAAACTAAAATACTGGTATGCAAGGGAAGAAAAAGTAGGGAGAGAGCGAATATAAAGATAGGAGACGAAAAATTAGAAGAAGTGGCCGATTTTAGATACCTAGGAAGTCAGATAAGTCAGGGTGGAAGGAGTAGTAGGGATATAAAGCAGGGGATTGCGCAGGGTCGTGTCGCCTTTAATAAAAAGAAGTCACTTCTATGCTCGCGAACGGTTAATTTAGAAATTCGAAAAAGATTGTTAAAGGTCTATGTTTGAAGCGCGGCATCATACGGGTACGAAACATGGACAGTGGGCGCGGCGGAAATGAAAAGGTTAGAAGCGTTCGAAATGTGGTGTTACATGCGAATGATGAGGATACCGTGGACAGAGAAGGTTAGAAATGAAGAGGTATTAGAAAGAATAGGAGAACAGAGGACTCTATGGACGTTTAATAAAAAATAGTCGAGATAGGTTGGTAGGACACCTTCTTAGGCATGAAGGTCTAGTCAGAGACATATTAGAGGCAGAAACAGGAGTTAGGAGGGGTAGAGGTAGACCTAGATTAGATTACTGTT